CTCAAGGCTTTAAACTTGCTGCACAAGTGTTCTACCATTTGAGCTACTTTCTTGGTTTATTCTTGTACTTTAACCTTCATAGCTGGAATTATAGATTCATGTTCTCATGCTTGCTTTATTGATTGAGTTGAGGTATCACTGCCCACTCGTTGCCCCCGACTGACTTTGAATTTCAATCTTCCCTTTTCCACTTCCCAAATAGCTAGGGTGACAAGTATAAGCCACAGTGCCAGGAGCACTTGAAATCCTAGTACTTCATAAAGTATCATTTATTAAAGGGTCTGTATATTCTCAAATGCATGTTTCTGTGTCTTTGTGGAAAATTATTTTATGTCTTTCAATTTTAATTGCAGAAGTTCTTCACTTCCTTGTTTAAACTTATTTTTTTAAATATCAATTGAGAATGGGATTGCTTTCCCTAGATTTCTGTTCTTACCAAGTTCATTATTTTTGTGTAAAAAATGCTACTAATTTTGGTATGTTGATTTTGTTTTATCAGTTTTTTCAATGTTTTGGTGGAGTCTTGAAGCTTTTCTCTATATAGTATCAGGTGCTCTGAAATAGGAATAATTGTGGTCTTTTCCCCTTATTATTTTTGTAATCTTTTATTTCTTTCTCTGATTGCTTTTGCTAATATATCCAGTACTATGTCAACTCTGAGTGTGAAAGTGAACATCCTTGCCTTATTCTAGATCTTAGAAGAAATGCTTTCAGCCTTCTTCCCATCCTTATCATGCTGGTTGTGGGTTTATCATACGTTTTCTTGGGATATGTCCTTTCTATACTGAATTAAGAATATTGATCCCAGGCTGGGAAGGTGGCTCAGAGGTAGAGTGCTTGCCTTGCATGCACAAGGCCCTGGGTTTGATTCCTCAGCACCACATAACCAGAAAAACCCAGAAGTGCCACTGTGGCTCAAGTGGTAGGACACTAGCCTTGAGCTGAAGAGCTGAGGGACAGTGCCCATGCCCAGAGTTCAGGCCCCATGACCGACAAAAAACTCTGCTCCCCAAATATACCAGCATCAAATACAGTGAAAACAGGGGTTATACTGTGGGGGAGGGACATACAAATCAACAACAAATCACTTGATACCTTATAAATACGTTAGAAACAATAGCAAGAAAGAAAAAACCACTTGTGGACAGAAGGGAACCTTACTGCATTGTTGGTGGGAGTGTAAGCTTGTTCAACCACTTTGGAAAGTAGTATGGAGGTTCCTCAAAAGACTCCATATAGAGCTCCCCTATGACCCAGCAATCCCACTTTTGGGCATTTACCCAAATGTTCACAAACAAGACCACATTAAAGCTACCAGCACGACTACGTTTATTGCAGCCTTATTTACCATAGCTAAGATATGGAGCCAACCCAGATGCCCCTCAGTAGATGAATGGATCAAGAAAATGTGGTATATATACACAATGGAATTCTATGCCTCCATCAGAAAGAATGACATTGCCCCATTTGTTAGGAAATGGAAAGACTTGGAAAAAATTATATAGTTTTCCCTTACTTGCAATAACTAGTATATGTCTGAGTCAAGCAGAAAAAGGGCAGATAAGTTGATGTTAGGGAAATGAACCCTAAGATATGTATTCCAATGTTTTTTTCTTTCATGAAATTGTTTCTAACACATTTATAAGATTATTTCTTTGTTGCTTTGTATGTCCCTCCCCCATGGTATAACCCCTGCTTTCACTGTATTTGATGTTGTTATAATTTGTGGAGGGGAAGGGAAAAAACAAATCATTTAAATAGGGATACAAGTGGACCCATTGCAACAGTGAGATGTACAAGTCGTTATGTCGAAAATGAACTTTACAACTTTGGTAGAAGGGGGAGGGTTGGGTGGGAGGGCCGGGGGGAGGGGAGGATGGGTTGGGAAGGGGAAACAGGAGGAGGCTACAATGCTTGATAAGAAATTTACTCATTATCTTGTAACCCTTCCGTACAGTATTTTCACAATAAAAAAAGAAAAAGCCATTTGTGTCCTTATCTTGGGGTTCACTTTGCTTAACATCATCTCATCTGACTTTTTTGCTTGTCTCAGACCTATACTAGTTATTGCAAATAAGGGAGACCATGGGACTTACATTTCTTTGCAACTGGCTTAGTTCACTTAATATGGGTTTTTCCCCCCCAAATCTTTCCATTTCCTAATAAATGGGGCAATGCCATTCTTTCTGAGGGAGGCATAGAATTCCATTGTGTATATATACCACATTTTCTTGATCCATTCATCTACTGAGATAGGGATACAGGTTGATCCATTGCAACAATTAGATGTTCAAGACGAAATGTTGAAAAATTAACTTTACAATTTAGGTGAGGGGGGGGATATAGTCATGGTAGTCATGGAGATGGGAGGGAAGGGATGGTAGGGGAAAAACAAAGGAGGAAGCAACAATGCTTGATAAGAAATGTACTCATTGCCTTGCTCCTGTGATTTTAATAACCCCTCTGTACAGTATTTTCACAATAAAAAACTTATTAAAATTGATGGTAGTATAATGTTTAATTTTACCTAGTTGTTTTGCTGCATCAATTGAAGAAATAAATGATCATATGATTTTTTTCCTTCATTCTGTGGGTGTGATACATTACACTAGTGATTTACATGTGTTGAGCTATCCCATTCCATCATTGTATATCTCTTTTTGATGTGCAATTGGATTGGATTTGCTAATGTTTTCCTGAGAATTTTATAACGTGTTTGTCAGGAATATTGGTCTGTAGTTACATGCAAGCAAGTGTTTGCACATATCCTTATCTGGTTTTGGTATTATGATAATGTTAGCTTCATAGTATGAGTATGGAGCAGATTAGTTTTCCTTGGAAATACCTTTCAATAGCTGAGATGCATACCTTCTTGAATCTGAAAGTGCAAGAGAAAAATGAATCTTTGCTTACTTAATTCCTTGGCTGAGATTTTGCATTAGGAATGATATTACAAAGTTATTTGGCCACATTTACTTGGATGAATGATTTTTGGTGTTTGTGTATGTCCTGTCAGATGGGAGCTTCTGCTTGCCAGTGGTTAGAAATGGATTTGACACAAAAGATGGCCAATGGCAAAGGCTCTAACCTGTGTCAAAGTCTAGTTTGCTTGGTCTACTATTATCAAATGGAAGATGTGAGTGAGAATGCACAGTTCATAACATTTCTTTTCCTACTGGAAAAGGCTATTGTACAGCAAATTACTTGACCTTATCAGGGAAAACAATCCTTAGTTGCATCCTTGTTATCTACTTCCTCTTCCATCTCTGGTAATCTATGCAGTGATCCTTGAAATATAATAAAAGAGCTCTTGATTCTTGTCTTTTAGGAGCTTAGAATCCATGGGGAAAGACATAATCACTTAAAAAATAGCGTTAGAGAAGGAAAAAACACCTCCATAGTTTCTAGTCACTTCCCTCAGGAACCAGACCTCATCTTCTTCATGAGGAATAAGAGACTTAAGTCTTTTGTGTATCAATGTCTCCTTAGCCTCCAGGGGATAGCCTCATACAGAAGAGATCAACTCATACTCATCAAGTATAAATTGGGTGAATGATGTTAATGGTCAGTGAGGAAAGGCATCCTGGAGACAAGTGGGAGCTGAGCTGGTTCTTTATAAGAGTAATTGTATAGGTGTGTATTCATGGAGGGAGAAAGTTTAAAAAGTATAAGGTCAGCTTGGGAGAATATTATTTGGATTTCCTATTACATTTGTGAGTTTGTAGGAAAAATGGGTGGGAGCCACATTATGGATGGAAGACCTTGAATTTCTGACAGAAGGGTATGGTCATCTGAGGTGTCCTCGGAAGGTGGTTAGAACAGTTCAGCAGACTGTGACACAATCAGACTTTGTGAGCCTGGAAGATAACATGCATGTCTTCCTTCTAAATTTTTGCTACTTTTGTGTGAGGCGAACATGATAACCACTACACTATGGAAACCCCTCTAAATTTTTGCTACTTTTGTGGCTAAAACTGCTGCTTGGAAGGTTGGGGGGGTGTAGGGACGGGGATTATGTCCATGAGCAGGACCATGGCTGTCATCTTATGCCCTTAAATATCTCATGCAAGACTTTTGTAATGGTTTTCCTAACATAAGCTCTTTATCCCTTCCAACCCATACCCTGCAGTTATTATATAGACTTATTTGTTTTTTACTTCTTCCCAATACATTATAACTTGTAGAGCAGGGATTATAGATGTCTAACTTATTCTCACATCTCCACACAGTACACAGACAAAGTGCTCAATAAATAAGTCTGGTGGTAAAGTGTACCCTGATGAGCTATAGAAAAGGTTTTTATACTGGTTATGCTTATAATTATATTTTAACTATATATAAGCTTGGTTATGCTATTTAGCCAGCTATAAGAATGTCTCTAAAGGGGCTGGGAAGGTGGCTCAGTGGTTAGAGCGCTTGCCTTGCATGCCTGAGGCCCTGGGTTCGATTCCTCAGCACCACATAAGCAAAAAGCAAAAAGCCAGAAGTGGAGCTATGGCTCAAGTAGTAGAGCACTAGCCTTGAGCTGAAGAGCTGAGGGACAGCGCCCAGGCCCAGAGTTCAGGCCTCACGACCAGACCCAAAAAAAACAAAGAATGTCTCTAAGGTTTACCAAAATCGCTGATCTTGGAATGGCTGATAGAAGAATTCTTGGCAATAACTAGGAAGCATGAGTTGTCTGTTGGGTTCTCCTCATCTAAGAAATCTTTAGAGCAAAAGCTCAAAGGAACTGAATTAAAGGTTTCTATTTATTACTTGAAAAGAAAATTAAAATACAGACTGCTTTGTGACTTAGCATATAACTTGGTTTGGGGATGTGTGGCAGTTACATTCACACACATCAGCTAAAATGTTACACTTTCCAGTTGTTCTGGAAATGGCTTACATGGCTAATATTTGCTTGCATCCCCTTCCACATATGGATGGCTGTCATTCCAGAATAAAGCATGAGTCTCTTTCTTGCAGTGGATAATGAAGGGCTTTGTCCTCCCACCCCACAGAGACACAGAATACAAAGGGCTGCAGCTCTCTCTGGATCAGATCTCAGCCTCCAAACCAGCCTTCTCCTATGCCAGCAGCGCCACACCCACCATGGCTGACAGCAGGAAGGGGACTAAGGCAAGGCTCTCCAGCTCCAAGTCAAAATCCAGGACATCTCCATACCCTCAGGTAAATGCTTTGACTTTCTAAAATCTTGCTTTTGTGTGTGTGCAACACTGAGTTTGATCTTGGAGTTGAAGAAATATTAAAACTATTTGGAATTAATCATCTGGCTTTAATAGAGTCGATACATTTATAAATCTGGAAGGGTTTCCAAACTATCTTCTCTGATTCCTTGAAAAGGGTAGGGCTAGTAAAAAATTTAAAATGATTTTTGTGGCTTACTGCTTTTATATAAAGGTCATGAGAGTCTGGATGTCAAAACCACAACTTCTTTGCTATTTCAAGGGTATTGATCCTAGTTTTGTTCCACGTACAATGATAAAAAGAAAGATACAACCAACATCCCAAAATATAGAAAATAAGAGCTTGATACAGAAAAATAAATTGACCAGAAACTAAGAAAGAAGAAAGCTAAGAGGTGGAGGCAAAGAATGAAGGTTGTTTTCGCTATGAACTTTGAGCATGGATTGAATATTTGTGTGTGGGAATCAGACAGGAAGGACCTTCTAGAAGGCAAGCTTTCTATTCTCATCTTTGTAAGGTAGTGAGATGAGACCAAAGGAGAGTTTCTAGTAACATTGCAAGACACAAAGCAAAGTCCTGGGGTCTTAGAGGGAAAAATGTTATCATTCTGATTCATCATAGATATAGAAACTAGACTGAGTAAAGGTATGTGTCTATTTGCTCTGGCCTTAAGGAAGTTGGATATGAGTGTGGATTTCCCATTGCTGCTCCCCGCCCCCCAGTCCGAGGCTTAAACTCTGGGCCTGGCACTAACCTGGAGCTTCTTTTACTCAAGGCTAGCATTCTACCACTTGAACCACAGCCTTACTTCTGGGCTTTTTCTGAATGCTTTATTGGAGATAAGAGTCTCACAGACTTTCCTGCTGGGGCTGGCTTCTAATTGTGATCCTCAGATCTCAGCCACTTGAGTAGCTAGGATTCCAGCATGTACCACAGGTGCTAGGCTCAATTGCTAGCATCTTGTGGTAACCTCTCCTCCATTCCTTTTCTGTAAGAGTGCCATGTCAAACTGCCTGAAATACATGGGGATAAGCCCGGAGATGATTCCAAGGATGGTAGTATACTAAACTAGTTTCTCAACCATTTACTTACTCAAGTGATTTCCCTACTTGTCAGAGGAATTTTTTGTTGATACCTGCAAGTGTTTATTATTTGAAGAAATGTTCATTGACCTGATGGTACACATGCATACAAAATAACTGCCAACGTATCTTAGCAAGTTGGTATACAAAGTTGAGAAGACCATTATCCCTATCTCCAAGAGACTTATGTCACATGGTTTGAACTCTTTCTCTGACAACAAGATTCCTTTACTTCAGTGAGAGGAAGGAGAATAAATATACAAAATCTACATATTTTTCAGTGCACAACTTCTATTAGGAGTACTGAGAACTTTATATATTATATTAGTTACTTTTTCTTGTTCTTGTTGTTGGTTGTTGGACTTGAACTCTGGGTCTGGGTGCTGTCCCTGAGCTCTCCACTTCAAGGCTAGCACTTTACCACTTGAGCCACAATGCCACTTCTGGTTTTCTGGTGGTTTATTGGAGATAAAGAGTCTCATAGACTTTCCTGCCTGGGCTGGCTTTGAACCGGGATCCTCAAAACCCAGCCTCCTGAGTAGCTAGGATTACAGGCATGAACCACCGGTGCCCTGCTGTATGTACTTTTAAATTACTGTTTTAAATTACTTTTAATAATACTTAAAAATGTGGTGACACAGAGACAACTTAAGGGAGGAAAGATTTATTTATCATACAGTTTCAGAGGTGTCAGTTCATCCTGGTGGAGAAGGTGTTCCAGAGCAAGCTTAGCGTCATTGTGGACAGAAAAGAAAGGAAGGCAGAGGAAGAGGTTGGGGACCAGATTACTCCAAGGATCTACCCCCTGGGATCTACTTCCCTTAGTTAGGTTCCACCTTCAAAGTTTCTAGAATTTTCCAAAATACTGCCAACAGCTGGGCCCATAGATCAGTGTTGGACAGACATATAAAAGAATTTAAATTAGGAAATAAGAAGTTAACAAGAGATTTGTGTTTGTCCCTTGTTATAAAAAAAATTAAGCATTTTGGCACATCTTTGTTTTGGGTATCTAAATCCTCATTCTATACTTTCTTTCATGCTTTTGTCTCAACATCCAAAATTTCTATTTTTTCACTTTAACAGTAGATGTTTATTTAAAATATATGTATTTCTGTACCAGTCCTGAGGCTTGAACTCAGAGCCTGGGCACTGTACCTGATCTGTTTTGTTCTCTAGTGCTCTATCACTTGAGCCGCAGGTCTACTTCCAATGATTTGGAAGTTTATTGGAGATAAGAGTCCCACAGACTTTCCTTCCTCTGGCTAACTTTGAACTGTGATCCTCAGATCTCAGCCTCATGAGTCGCTAGGGTTACAGGTGTGAGCCACCAGCTCCTGGCATCATTTAAAAATATTTTAACTAATCATTGTGTTGAATAGTTAAAACATATGTTATATAGTTAAAAAACCTACAAACTGAGACGTAGAAAAATCCTCCTTTATCCATTATTCTCTTTTTTTTTATTATTGGTTATGGGGCTTGAACTCTGGGCCTGGGCACTGTCCCTGAGCTCTTCAGCTCAAGGCTAGCACTCTACCACTTGGGCCACAACACCACTTACAGCTTTTTGGTGATTAGTTGGAGATAAGAGTCTCATGGATGTTCCTGCCCTGGCTGGCTTTGAACCGTGATTCTCAGATCTCAGCCTCATGAGTAGCTAGGATTACAGTCGTGAGCCACCGGCACCCAGCTTTACATTTTACTTTTTAGAATAATGTTCCACAATGTATAAAAATTACATACATGCAGATATGTAAATTCATGTAGGATTTCTCTTGATGTTTGTACATCCATTCTTTTGTTTACTATTTGCATAAACACAGTCCTTAGAATTTTGGTTATGTTTCCCATTTGAAGCACCATAGTCATAAATTAAATTTACCAAACATTTATATGCCTACGAAAGGTGATTTTCAAACTGTATTTACTTTAGATAATCATCCTGCTAGATGACCATTGACGGAATTCATCCTCTGTGGGCTGCTAACATACAGATGGAACACACATCTTTTGCTTTCAAAGAGCCACTGGTTTCGGCAGATAAATGAACAGACATTTGCAATGAGTTGTCATGATGTAAGGGTGTTTTCTCCATGGACAAAGGCTGACATTCAGGGCAAACTCAGCATGATTTCTGCTGGAAGAAAACTACGGAGAAATTCCTCTATCTTGTGTTCTAGCCCCTCAGAAATTTTAAAGAAAAACGACTAGCTTCTCAAAAAAGTACTTGGGGGCTGGGAAGGTGGCTCAATGGTAGAGTGCTTGCCTTGCGTGCATGAGGCCCTGGGTTCGATTCCTTAGCACCATATAAGCAGAAAAAGGCAGAAATGGCGCTTGGCTCAAGTGGTAGGGTACTAGCTTTGAGCTGAAGAGCTGAGAGACAGCACCCAGGACTAGAGTTCAAGCCCCATGACTGAAAAAAATAATTGGTCCAAAGTATTCCTCTAACATTAATGGATAACTAACTTTACATTTTTTTTTAGAACTGTTAGTGATTTATTTTTATTTATTTATTTATATTTTTTTAAATACTAAGTTATTTTATTGTGAAAATACCATACAGAGTGGTTATAATTACATGAGCAAGGTAATGAGTGCATTTCTTATCAAGCATTGTTGCCTCCTCCTTTGTTTCTCCTTACGCATCCCTGCCCTCTCCTCCCATCTCCACCCCCCCTCCACCCCCCCCCCCCCAGTGATTTATTTTTTAGAGATGGTTTAGACTCTATTTCAATAAATACTTTTTTTGTAATACTAGGATTTGAGCTAGGCTTTATGCTTGCTAGGCAGACCATTCTGTTGCTTATGCTATGCCTACAGCCTCTTGTACTTTGGTTATTGTTGAATAGCATCTTGCTTTTTATGAAGGTTGGCCTGGACCTCACTTCTCCTTTCTATACTTCCTTTTGTAGCCAGATGATAGGCGCATAGCATCACACTCAGGGTTTTGTTTTTGTTTTGAGATGGAGTCTCAGACTATTTTTCCAAGGCTGGCCTGGAACTAAGATTCTCCTCCCAGTTTTAGCCACCCCACATACCTGGATGACACGCATGCACCACTGTACCCCATAGATGACATAGGGTCTCATGAGCTCTTTGCCTTTGCCCACCTCAAACCATGATCTTTCCAGTCTGTACTCTCAAGTAGCTAGGATTACAGGTAGGAACCACTAATGTGTAGCAATAAATATCTTTATTATTAACTGTGCAAAATAAAAATTTGTAATAATTGTAAAGCTGGTTATATATATGTATATATATATGTACACACATACATACATATATATACATATATATGTATATATATATACACACAATTTCTAACTTTACATTTTTGAGCATCATTGTTCTTCTATGTTTTGAACTCAGAAGACTCCAGTGGAATGTCTGCTTTGGAAAGATGCTGCTTATAATCATTGTGGTGTTACGGCTTATGTAAAAGGTGCTTGACTAGACAGGAGTGTATAAAAAATATCCTGAAGTTTTGCAGTATGGTTCAAAATGGTACAGAACAGAATAAAAGAAGTAGTATATAAGAGATGATGCATACAGAAGACTTTGTGAATAGACTGGTAACATGGACTCCAGCCTGTCTAAGAAAGATGTGGGTAACTTGTCTTTGAGGATAGGGTTCAGGCATTTTGGGGTGAAAGAAAGGAGTGGGGATTTCAGAGAGAAAATGGTTATGAGGAAATGTAGTAAGACCTTGTTAGTGTGGTGACATTTCTGAATGAGCACTCGTAGTAATATGTTAGACACACTGATTGGTTCCAAATATATACTGAATTAAAAGTTCCATTCATCTTGTAAAGAAAGAGTGAAGACTTTTGAATAGGACAGGGAAGGACTAATCTGGTCAAGCAAAGAAAACTATTTAAGGGAGTAATTTTAATTGCTTCT